GGGATCGGGATGCGGGACAAAGGTCATTCTCTGTGGAGCACAACAAACACCGTGGAAATACCTGTCTGWACCTCTGTTAGAAAACTTCTCCCCAAAACCATCGTGCGGGAGGGGTGGACTCCCTGTATCTGCTGGGAGAGATGCAAATTTCCAAGTTTTTTTACACTCAGCRTTGCCACAAGTTTTGGTGGTGTTGTTTGRTTGGGTTTTTTGTTAACAGAATCTCATAAAAAATAGACAAAAAGTCCTCGCATGGTGATTCTACACCTAAAGCTGGTTTTAGTTCACCAAAGCCAAAAGAAGTGTTGCAGAAATCTGAGTCTCTCTGCACTAAAGTGTTGTGTTGTTGCTCGGGGCTTTTCCGTGAAGTGCTTAAAACCTCACAGGGGTCATTTCAGTCTTGTTCACTTCAGTATTTTGACAATCATGAGTTTAATTGGTTTATCAGGCAGGAGCCCTGAGATTTCACTCCTTCCCTTTCACACCATCCCTTGGCAAATACAATTATTCTGAGATAAAAAAAAAAAAAAAAAAAAAAAAAAAAAAAAAAAAAAAAAAAAAAAAAAAAAAAAAAAAAAAAGGGAGTAATCTTCCTGTTCAGAAAAAAAGGGGGAAAACACCAGGAAAAAACCCCATGTTTATTCTAATATTCAGTCACAAATAGTCCTGGGGATTTCCTCATCACATGTCCGTACATCTTCCAAGAAGATTAATGATCACCAGGCTGAACAGGTTGAATGGTTTTTTTGTTTTTTGGTTTTTTTTTTTCCTGGGCAAGGAGCATGATTACATTTTAATCTGGAAAAATAGGTACAGCAGCACATCTSTGTTTGGCTTGTAACTCGCTGAGTAGCTTCTGGGATTTGTTGTATAATATTTGCTAAATGGCTTAATGGGAAAAAGAGAGTGCAGGAGGAGCTCTAAAAATTATTATAAGTCTTGTGGTAACAAATAATATTTCCTCAAATGGATTGGGAAAGAGGAGACAAGCAATACCGTACATCAGTCATTTTCCAGATGGGAAGGAGCTCCTGGTTTTGCGGTGGCAAGAGAAATTTTTAATTCAATTAAAAAAAAAAAAAATCTACATTAGTGCTATGATGACAGGTTTTTCTGAGCACAAAAGAGGATGGAAATAAGGGGGGAAAATGAATATATTCTCAGTCTTCTAAGCACTTTTTAATCACTGTAGCTGAAACAGGGCCAGATGCTGTTTATGTCAAAAGCAAAACAAAAGACAAAGGGAAGGCGCTGCAGCCCAGAATGGCACCGTCCTTCAGCGGGTCCTCAGCACTGCAAATTACCCTTCCCATCCCTCAGCATCCCCGCTGGGATAATGATATATTTTCGGGAGGCTGTTTTGGGCGAGCAGCAGCCAAGGGGCTTGCCAGGAACAACAGCTCCTGCTCAGCAAATCCCACTTGTTGCTGCTGCTGTGCTGTGGGCAGCGGGGATTTGTGCCACCCTGCAGACCTGGGCCGTGCCCATGGGGATTTCTGCACCCCAAAGGCTTCCACAGCYCCTTTAGTATCAGATAATGAAGATGAAATTAATTTAAATCCTGCCTCAAAGCCGGGCTGTGAGCGTGGTCTGGGTGGGCTGCACGGAGCTGTGGCAGAGGAGAATAATCTGACATTGTTATGGAATGGATGGAAATTCGCCAGGCCCTGGCACAGTCTGGGGCTGTGGCCCAAATCCCTGACACACTTCTCTTCTCCTGCCAGCATGCCCAGGGTGGCAGAGGGTGCTGTGCCCCCGTGTCCCAGAGGGATGGACACTCCTGACCCTAAAGGATGGCTGCAGTGTGTCCTGAGCAGGGAGATGTGTTCAGGAGCCATTCCCTTCTTGCTCTTTTTTTGCACTGGAAACCRAGAAATCCCATATGGTACCTTCTTATTTTTCTTCAGAAAACCAGTCCTGGATTTGGGTCTATAACCCCAAAGAATCCCCCTAGCAGCGGTTTCTCACCTTTATTAAATTTACCCAATCCCAGCAATGCTGAGAGAAGCCCGGCAATATCCCTCCATCCTCAGGCACTGTAAATGCTGCTTTCCCAATGTAAATCTCACTTTCCCTTGCCCCGTTCTCTCCGAGGTGCTGACACTCTCAGTGCTCATGCACCCCCTACTCAGGGGATGTGCTGSSRSTKGGAGCCATTCCCTTCTTGCTCTTTYTWGCACTGGAAAYSGAGAAATCCCATGTTCTTACCTCCTCATTCTTTTTCAGAAAAYCAGTCCTGGCTACWGGGGTCTGTAACCCCAAAGAATCYCCCTAGCAGCAGGYTCTCACYTTKATTAAATTTACCTGATCCCAGCAATGTCCCTCCATCCTCAGGCACTGTAAATGCCGCATTCCCAAGGGCAGTATCTCACTTTCCCCCTTCTCTCCCAGGTGCTGACACTCTCGGTTCTCATGAACCCCCTGCTCAGGGGATGTGCTGCRAGTTGGAGCCATTCCCTTCTTGCTCTTTCTTGCACTAAAAACCGAGAAATCCCATGTTCTTACTTTCTTATTCTTCTTCAGAAAACCAGTCCTGACTGCCGTGCTCGGGGGCTGGGGTCTGTAACCCCAAAGAATCTCCCTAGGAGCAGGTTCTCACCTTTAWTAAATTTACCTGATCTCAGCAATGTCYCTCCATCCTCAGGCACTGTAAATGCCGCATTCCCAAGGGCAGTATCTCACTTTCCCTGTTCTCTCCGAGGTGCTGACGCTCTCGGTGCTCATGTACCCCCTGCTCAGGGGTCTGGCCCTGCACCTGCACTCGGCTCTGACTGGCAGCTACATCCCAGGGACTCATTCCATCGCCTTGGTCAACTGCCTCAACGAGCAGATCGCCAAGGACATCGCCAGGTACGCACACGYTCCCTTTGCTTGGCAGTTTGAATGGCTCCAAAGCTGGGATAAAGCTGAATATTCCCTTTTCTTTCTGTACTTTGCATTTCCAGGGGTTGAGGCCCTGGCACAGTGTGCTCAGAGAAGCTGTGGCTGCCCCTGGATCCCTGGAAATGTTCAAAGGGAGGGTGAACAGGGCACCCTGGGACAGTGGGAGGTGTCCCTGTCCTTGGCAGGGGTGACATGGGATGAGATTTAAGATCCCTCCCAGCCCAGTCCATTCGGGGTTACCCGAGGACTTCTCACTGTCCCTGTGTCCCTGTGTCCCCCTCACCAGAGCTGTCCCAAGGAAAGCTGACATTTGCCTCTGAATCCAATTCCATGATAACATCACGCATTTCTCAGTTTATTCCACTGCCTTGTGTTTTCAAGAGCCATTTTCAAGCCATGAAACCTGAATTTCTGGGTCCTCAGATGGCTTAAACCCCAGCCTGATGTTCTCTGCTCTGCCACAACCTTTATTTCTCTAGAACAACACAGAGGGGTTTGTAGAGAGGGACAAAGCACTGTGCTCTGACATGAAAATTTAAAAAATAGGAAAGTCACAGCAAAGCAAACAGTTGTGAGGCACCACTCTGCTCACCAGGCAAACCTCAGGGAATGAGGGCTTTTCCTCAATTTTTTCTTCTTCTATTTTAATCCATGAGATGCTTTGCATGATATTTTGCATGCAGAGTTTTTTTTCCCCCATCTGTCAGTTCCTGAGTCAATGGATGGTCTGTTCAAAGTACTGAACCCGTGTTGACTGGGGAAGTGTTTATGATGGACCGTGAAGTTTCCTGCAACACCTCCTGCGCTGTTTTCCTGCTGCCCTTCTGCTGCCAAAACCCCTCCATCTCCAGCAAAGTGCTCCCAAACATGTTCTGGAACTGACAGGCTACTGAAAGGGAGTTTGTGTCACCTTAAATACTGCAACTGTGCTGAGAAATTCAAGTAGAATGATGTCTGCACTGCTTGATGTTTCCTAAAAAAAAAAAAGGAGCAACTGTACCTGGTGAAAAGAGCCTCAGTTCCTGAAAATGCCTCATCTGAGCAGCTTTGAAAATGCTTTCCACTCTTTGTTCCTCATCTTACAGGGAAAGGAGAGGAAATAAATCCCTCCCCTGGCTGAGATCGATGTACTTTGGTTGTGGTTTTACTGCTGGAGTAACGATTCCTTTGTTCTGGAGTTTGGAGCGGCGAGCCCTGGCTGTAGGGGATGACACAGGGATTCCACACTCATTTTTCCTGGTCATGTTTGTTCTTCCTGCTTGGTGGAGCACTCTCTGGGCTGCAGGGAGATTTTCCAAAGGTTTTAAGGAAAAGGGGTTCAAGCCTTGTGGAAGCAGAACAGCTGCAGRTAGAACTGAGCAGCTCAAGACCCTCTGGCCTGTCCCCCATGGCTGCTGGGAGGAGCTGACCCCCTTGGCTGGGTGCTGTGACCACTGCCCCTCACCCAACTCACCCAACACCCACTGCTGCCTTGGATTTGTGCTCCTCATTTCCCTTGCTTTTCAGTTTATTAATATTTAATCTGTCTCAATTCAGGGCCTGTTGTGAGGCACAGACAAATGAACACACATTAAGTGCCCAACCCAAAGCCATCATGTATTATGCAGACGTTTTCCACAGATCACATTCAGCTTCTGATAATGCTCCCCATTCCCCTGGTGGCCTCTCGATGCTGCTCAGCTGCTGGGTCAAAGTTTAGGATCTCAGTTTTTTGGGACAGAGCATCCAAACCAAAAGGTTTCTGTGCTGAAGTGCCGTGTGAGTTGGTTTCAGGCAGCACATCTGGAGTGATTTGTGCCACGTGTGACATGACAGTCACAGCAGGGATGGCTCTGCCTGTGCTGCTGCACTTTGTTGGCCTAAAGATTAACTCAAGATGTTCCACAAGYATTAAATGCCTGGAGCTGCCTACACATGGGGAGAATAAACATCCCTGAGCCTCCTTGGACACTTCTCCTCTCTGGCCATGGTCCCCCAATGAAAACAAAAGGTGAAGTCACTGCTGCCCCCTCTGAAATGACAGCTGCCACCTCTGTGAGAGGGGCCAGACACTGCTGTGGTCACAAAACACAACATTTGCGCCCTTTCTTCTAAAAATCCACCCCGAGATTGCTCCTGCACCCTGTAATCACTGAGGTGTCGCTTCTGCTGGCAGCTCTGCAGTAACAAACCACAGCTCACGGAGCCGCAGGGAAGGAATTTATTTGGGCTTCAGATTTTCTAGGACATTTTGGGCTGAAAACCTTTGATGTTGTTAATTTAACAAGATGCACATTTGGGCTGCTCTGTGAGGAAGAGGCTCAGTTTAACAAACCTCTTCCTGTCCATCCCAGCCCTGGTTTTTGCAATGCTGTGGTTCAGCCCCTGCCTCGGTGACCCCACGGCCAGGGGGGCACAGGGCTGGCACTGGGCAGGGTCCCTGCCCCAYCCAGGCCAGGAACAACACCCAAACTCCCTCCTCAGCACAGGGAGGCTCYCAGAGCTCTGCCAGGAGGGCCTGATCTGGAGCAGCTCCAGCCAAAGGTCACCTTTGCCTCTGTTTTCTCAGGGTAATAAGTAACCCAAAATTCCATGTCTCCAACATCAAAGCCGCTGCTGGCAGTCCTGGGCAGCACCAGGGAGTGTCACCATGGGTGGGGTGAGCCCTGGGCTGGGCTGGCACTGACTCCTCTCCTGTCTCCCCCAGGGCCATCATGGATAAGAAACTGGCTGCCTACGTGAACATCCTGCCCAAGAGCTCGGCCCTGTGAGTTGGGCTGGATATTCCCCGAGGGAGGAGGCAAACCTGGGCTCTGCAGGGAGGGAGGGAGGGCATGGACACAGCCTTCAGTGTCCAGGAGGCTGCTGGGTCTGTTTGTTGTTGCTGATCCTGGGGATGAGTCTCACTGGTGCTTTTTAAGGAGCGCAGATGCTCCAAATGCCCCATGGGACCATTTATTTATCGGTTCCTTGGCTACACAGTGGACATGAGGCAATTTGGGGTTTATGGCCCTGACGACCTGGTGCCTGCTATTAGAGGCTCTGAAAAGCAGTCCAGACAGGGACCAGAAAAGGCTTTACAAGATTAAGCAGCATTTTGAGGCAGGAAGAGCAGCATCTCTGAGCTTGGCCCAGGACCAGCCGTGCTCTGCAGGTGTCCCCAGCTGTCCACAAAAAGGGCCTGCACTTGTTGCAGAGCTTAAAGCTCCAAAAACAGCTTTTGCTCCCAGAAACAGCAGAGAGGAGCAGATCCCACTGCAAGATCAGGAGGAGTCCCCAGGGTGCACCCCTAGAACCCACTGGAGGCTGCTGACAGACAGCAAACCCTTCTTCCCTCATCCAGCATTTCCTACAAACCCAAAGGGCCGGAGCAGAGCTGCTCCTGCTGGGTTCTGCTCTGAGCCCTGCTCAGGAGACACCGTGACGCCTCTGAGCAGGAGCCCAGCAGGCAGATGAGCTCAGAACGGGCTCTTGGCAGCGGCAATGTTTTCAAAGGTCAYGTCTGACTCATGACAAGTGCAGCTCCTCTCCTGCAGGGAAAGAGAGGAAGAAAGCTCGGCCTGGCAATCCCTGCAGGCTCTGTCCCCTGCTCAGAGCCACAGCCCCCATGGGCACCCCAGTCCCAGCAGATTTTCTCTCCTATTTCCCCTGGGCACATTCTCTGGAGGAAGCTCTGATCCATAAATTTGGGGTGCTCAGCAGTTTTGGGGCCAGCAACGCTTCTTGAGCCGCTTTGTAAAGAAAAGCACCGAGCAGGGAAATGTAACCGGAGGGTTGGCACGGCTGCAGCCAGGGCTCGGTTTGCTGATGTTGCTTTTCTTTTAAATCCAGGTATTTCTGGAAAGGGGAGCTGGAAGAATCCACTGAAATACTRCTGGTAAGTGATCAAAAATCCCCATTGCAAAGGGTCCCAGCTAAAGGGGCTGCAGGGACATTTTGGGAGGGTTTGGGGACATCCCTGAGGGAAGAGCCAGGATGGGCTCCTGTTACAGCCCTGCATGTGCTGGGTGGCTGTGGGGGAACTGCAGGTCAGGGTTACTCCATCCCTTCTCATCCCCCATGGGTTTTTTTTTGGGTCAGGATCACTCCATCCCTTCAGATCCCCCTTGGGGTTTGTTTGGGTCGGGGTCACTCCATCCCTTCACATCCCTCTTGGGGTTTATTTGGGTCAGGATCACTCCATCCCTTCAGATCCCCCTTGGGGTTTGTTTGGGTCGGGGTCACTCCATCCCTTCTCAACCCCCATGGGGTTTTTTTTGGGTTTTTTACTCTCCACAGCTGGTGAAAACAAGGACGTCCAAAATAGGGGAATTGTCCAACTATGTCAGGTAAGGCTCTGGCTGTGCAGGAGCACTGGGTGTCCCATCCAAGGTAGGCTGTCACCTCCTGCTCAGGCTTTGGGAGCTCCTTCAGCCCCTTCCCACTCAGGGCAGGTTAAGGGCTCCTGCTGTATTTCATGAGCCAGAAAATCCCAGAGATGGTACCAGCAAAAAGGAAAAGGTGGCAGAAATATCAACAGCTGGGCTTTCCCCACCCTCCAGGCTGGGTTTGAGGAGGGATTCTCCTTCTGACAGCCTCCTGACAGGATTTCCTGCATTTCCCGAGGGGAAAGCACGCTCAGCTTTGGGCCAGGCCCCCGGCAGTCTGCGGTAGACCCAAAGCAGAATTCCCACGTGGCAGAAAGAAGATGCGGGAGCTTTGAAGCCKGGGAGGGCTCGGGGCAGGGCTGGGAGGGCTGGGGCTGACTCTGCTCCTCCAATCCTGGTTCCCCTTCAGATCCATCCATCCCTTTGAAATGCCCGAGATCATCAGCCTGCCTATCGACCAGGGCAACCCTGTGTACCTCAAATGGATAGAGCAGAACGTCCCTCGGGACTGACAGCGCCTCGTTTTTGGAAACCGGGTCCCTGCCGAGCCGCGCGGGAGGCAGCTGCGGTTTTCTCGGGTTTGCTGAACGCAGGAGCTCAGATTGGGAAATGTCCCCTCCTCGGCCTGTCCGGACAGCGCTGAGCAGCGCTGGGGAAGAGCCGCCCGCACCGGGGGCTGCTGCGGGTGAGGAATCGCGGAAATGTTCCCGTCAGGACACTCGGGGGCTGCCTCGGGCTGCCAGCAGCGCATTCCAGCCGGGACCTCCCCCAGTGCCGTGTGTCCCCAAAGGCAGCCCCGAACCCCGCCTGCCCCCGGCATCCCGCCCCGCTCCGCCCGCAGGATGCAGGATGTGGCCGCGCACCCGCGCCGTGCCGGCTCCTGCCCTCCTGCCGGCAGCCAGCGTGCTGCTGGAGCCCCGCAGAGACGAGGAAGAGGCGAATTCCAGCAGATGCCGCAGGGATTCAGCGACAGCAGCGCGCAGATTCTGCCTTGCAATGAGCCGGGATGAGCTGGGATGAGCTGAGTGACACCCAAGTGCCAGCAGGACCAGGACACTGCCCTGGCTCCCATCCTTACCCCACCTGAGCAGTGGCTTTCTGCCTGGGCCAAGTTTAACCCTGTAAAAAGATCCTTTTGTCACGGGATATAATTTATGGGACATTTTCGAGTTATTTATGTGACCGGGAATGGAATAAACAGGAGTGTTTCTTACCTGGGCAGGCTCTTGGGGCTGCAGCTGGGCAGGAGGAAGGGCCCATCCCGGYCTTGCAGTGACCCTGTCCAGGTCATCCCGGTGGATGTTCCCACCTGGCTCCTCTTGGGTTCCTGGGTGTTTTGCAGGCCCTGGGATCTGTGCCCACCACAGCTTTGTGTGTCCCCATCAGCCCTCAGAGGCAGCACAGGACAGGCTCACAGGGGCTCGAAAGAAAAACCAGGAGGGACAATGGTCTGAGCTCCGAGAGCTCAGAGGGAATTTTCAATGCAAACAAATAATACCAGCAAGGCCCCTGGTCTGGCAAAAAGGAATGAAGCACATGCAGARCAGCACACCCAAAGCTGAGCTTTGYTCAGCYCTGCCAGGGCTACSTGTGCCCTGTGCCAGTTTTAGGCTCAGATCAAGAGGATTTGGGCTGTTTGGCAGCTCAGCAGGRCAGCCCCTCTCTACAAAACCCATCAAGCCAAGGGCTGGCCGTATCCCCCCCATTCCCACACCCCCACCCACCTCTTCCATCCTTCTGCCACTGCTGTGCTCCCCAGYAGCACCCCAAGGTGAGGACACCCTCACCTGGCACTGGGCATCCCAACTCAATAACTCTCACATTTCCAAAAAAAACACTTTTTAATTGTACATCAGACAGATTAATTACAACCTGGCTATAACGAGAGTTGCTTACAAGCAGCAACCTGGACTCAGAAAYAAAAGGTGCACAGAGTTGTTATAATCTCTATCACAGCGAATGCAAAATATACTCTGCAACAAAAATACTTTTGAAAGGCTCCRCATTCAATTCTCTGCCAGAAGCCAGGAGAGGAGGAGAGGGAAGGGAGAGGGAGCAGGGAGGAGCCAGGGCCACATCCTGTGGGTGCTCCCGTGAATGCAATGTCTACTGGCACATCCCACTGGACAGCCCTGCTCAGCCCTGGCACAGCTCCTGGCAGCTCCACAGGCACTCAAGAACGGGAAATGGTGTAAATGGTCCTTGGGGGACAAAGCTAAGGCAGGACAGGGCTGCTGGAGCCCGCCCTGCCAGGGGTGGGGGGTGCTGGCCGCTCCTCTCCCTAAAGGACAGGGACACTCTGCCCTGGCTGAGCCGAGACCCCACAAACACAGGAGGACAGGACAGGAGCTGCTGATGGAGCAGGATCCCACAGCCCCCAGCACAGCCCCCACAGGACACAGAGGGATGGGGGAGAGACGAGGAGGACAACATTAAAAATATATCTCTGTCTTTTTTACGGAAAAAAACCAAACACGTCTGATATGAGGATCTTTTTTAAAAAAAACTGTTCTGCTCCTGCCCAAGCTGGCAGTATTGCTTTGCTGAAGGAGGGGGCTGCTCCTTCTCTCCTGCAGACAAATCAAACCCACAAAGGCCACCACTACACTGCCCCTGAAAGAGCCACAGCCACGAGGTCACAGGGGTGGGCACAGGGGTGGGCACAGAGGTGGCCATAAGGGTGGGCACAGGGATGGGCACAGGGATGGGCACAGGGATGGGCACAGGGACCCTGACACAGCCCCCTCCCCCTGTTCCCGCTGTCCTCTTCAGCCTCTTTTGGTTTGTCTGCTGGTTTGGCACATTTGGGATGAGGATTCCTGTAGAAACGAAGGCCTTGGGCTGCAGTCTGTGAAGTGCCCGTGGTGGTTTTAAGGCAAAGGAGGATTTTTTTTTGGATGATCTCTTCCAAGATCATGATTGTCAGAACGGGGAAACGACGCTGGTGCAGCATCACACACAGGGCAGGTTGTGGGGCGGGAGCTCATCTGCCCCATGGCCACGACAGGCACAGTGGGCTGGGTTTGGGGCGTTTTCCTCTCACGGAGAACAGTCCACATTCCTTTAATGAACGGATCCAGGATGAGGTGGAGAACCCCGAGCTGTCCCCAGTTTGCCACGAGCACAGGGATGAGCTCAAGGATGAGGAGGGGTTTGTGCTGCGGCAGCAGGACCTGCTCGAGGCTGCTCAGTCTGGTTGGGATATGGGACAGGCACGGGGTGAACAGGGTGTGGGGTGTGGGGTGTCCCTGCTCCAGCTGTGCCAGGGAGACCCTTCCGGAAGGGCCAGACCCCCTCCCTGCTCTGCCCAGCCCCGGACGGTGCCTCGGGCTCGGCCAAAGGCTCCATCRGGAGAAACAGCCGAGAGACTGAAATGGTTATCGTTCAAAAAGCGCTGTCAGGGCTGCAKCTTTCACTGCCGGGCAGCACCGCCGGCCTGGGTGAGCCTGTCCTGTGCCTCACAAGGGCTCCCCCGGCCTGCTCTCCTCTGCTCCGGCTCCGGGAGAGGCTCCGGGGCTGGCGGGGCTCAGTACGGGGTKGTGCCTTCCCACTCCACCAGGTACTGCACCTTCCCCTCCAGCGTCACCCTCCGCGCCAGCACCTGGTACTTCTCCCCGCACACCAGGCGGCCCGCGGCGCCGAAATAGCTGCTGATGGAGGATTTGAGGTGYGACAGCGACGAGTCGTCCTCGCTGATGCTCTCGAAGGTGTGGCTGTCGATGCCGTCGTCGGGGCGGTCATTTACGGCCGCAGCCTCGCTGCCCTCGGGGGTGGCCGGGGCCGGGCGCCCTCCCAGCTCGCCGCCTCTCCTCTTGGCCCCCGAGGCGTAGGCTGGCACCGACAGTTTGCGCTTGCGGCTGCCCACGGTCCTGCGGCTGCCAGGGGGGGACAGGGCACGAGTGAGGGTGACCCCCAAAGGTGCCCCCGGGATGGCTACCGCCGGGAATTTGGGGGAGCCCGGCAAGGACCGACAGCTCCGATTCTGCACAGCCAGCAAGGGTCACCTCGGGATCCTCAGACTGTTCTGGGACACAGGGTGGAGCATGAACGGGGCAGATGCAGCCCTGAGCCCCCCGGCCATGCCCCCTCTGGAAGGAGCTCGGGGCACAGTCCTCACCTGGACTCRTAGGAGAGGCTCGTGGTGGCCGAGCCTGAGGTGCTGGTGGCATCYGTGGAGTCCAGGTCCGACAGGAAAGTCTGTCCTGAGCTGGCACTGGGGACRGGATGGGGCGGGATGGGATAATCTGGCATGCAGCATCGGCCCCAGCCTGGCACAAGCAGCACCCCTGGCCCCCCACACCCTGCTCCGGCTGCACACACCTTTTCAGGCTCTGGATCTCATCCAGAGTGAAGTCGAAGATGCTGGCCAGGTGGTGGTTGGTGCTCCAGGCSGAGGTGAAGTCGCTCTGTGGCACAAAAACAGCTCACTCCTCACTGCCCGGCACGGGGCTGCTGCCCACACGGGCACCGGCACCCCAGAGCCTGTGGGGACGGGCTGAGGGACACCGAGGGACACTGAGGGACAGTGGGGGACAGTGAGGGACACTGAGGGACATCGAGGGACACTGCGGGACATGAGGGACACCGAGGGACATTGAGGGACACTGAGGGACACTGCGGGACACTGAGGGACACCGAGGGACACCGAGGGACACCAAGGGACACCAAGGGACATTGAGGGACACTGAGGGACAGTGAGGGACACTGAGGGACACCGAGGGACATTGAGGGACACTGAGGAACACCAAGGGACATTGAGGGACACTGAGGGACACTGAGGGACACCGAGAGACAGCCCTCCCTGCCCGTCCAAGCCCGGAGAAGCTGCGGGGACTGCCCGGCTCAGGATCCAGGAGGGGGCGAAGGACTCACGCTGGGAATGGCATCCTCCAGCAGGAACTTGGCCCTCTTGCGCCGCGCTCGCCGCTTGTGCTGCTGCAGCTGCCGCGGCAGGAGGCTGCGAACAGAGCGTGATGGGGGCGAGGGCAGCGGCTGCTGCTGCGGGAACACCCGGGGGACGGCCGCTCACCTGTCCTTATCGGGGAATTTGCTCTTTCCTTTCTTTTTCAGCTCGCAGGAGCTGCCCTCGCCCTCGCCGGGGCTYTTCTCCGGCAGCACTTTGCTGGGGGGGTTCGGGGGCACGCGGATCCGCAGGCGGAAGATGCATTTCTTCTTTTTTATCTCCTTCCCGCACAGAAACCTGGGCGGCCGAGCGGAGGGAGCAGCGCTCAGCCAGGAGCATCCTGCAGCCCTCCCTGTGCCCATCCTTCAGCCAGGAGCATCCTGCACCCTCCCCATGCCCATCCCTCAGCCAGGGTGTCACAGGAGTGTCCTGCACCCCTCCCCATGCCCATTCTCAGCCAGACCCACCTGCTCTTGTAGCTGTTGAGGGCGTTGAGGAGGTGGGGGCCGCGCTCCGAGATGGGGGTGCCCGTGAGCTGCAGGACAGGGGGTCAGGCAGGGCTCGGTGCCCGCTGTGGTTTTGCAAAATCCAARCAGACAGAGGAACCCAAACCCCAGTTTTCGGCTCCTGCCCAAAGTCAGGGAGGGAAGGAGCCAAGGCCCAGCCAGAGCCACCCACAGCTGGCACTGCCACCCTCGGGGAGCCACCCTGTCCTGCCCTGGGGACAGATTTGCTTGGGGTGAGTGCACCCAGCTCCAGCTCCCACGGTGAAAAGGGGTCAGGTCTGCCCCTCCAGCAAGGGAAAACCCACTCAGAGGAAAGGGATCAAGCTCATGTGGGGCAGGAGCTGCCCATGCCAGGAGCTGCCCAGGCTGGGGTTACATTTCCCATCCCATGGCTGCTTTCCAGCACCAGCCCGGGGTGGGTTTGTACCTTCCCGAGCTGCAGCGGGTCCCAGTGGTGGTTCACAAAGGCCAAGATCTCCTCGAAGTCRAAGTATTTCTTCTTGCTCTGCACACCCAGGTTGTAGAGGGCGAGGTGGACGATGTCCACCCTGCAGCAAAGSGGGGCACAGGGTCAGCAGTGCCAGCTGCACAGTGCCAGCACCGTGCCCTGCTCTGCCAGTGCCACTGCAGCTCCCAGGTGCTCCCAAAATCCACCACTGGAACCTCCCCACGCCTCACAGGGGAAGCTGAGCTTTATCCCAGCAGGTGCCAAAGCCAGGACAGCATCCCTTGAGCTCTGGGGAGAGGTGGAACACTGCTGCAGCTGGGGGAA